CCCCAACCCTAACCCCAGGTTCAGGTTGTGGTTAACCCGAACCTGGAACCTGGGGTTGGGGTTAGGGTTGAACCCCAACCCTAACCTGAGGTTAAGGTTGGGGTTAACCCCAACCCACAACCTCAGGTTCAGGTTGTTGGACCCCCCCCTTGGACCCGGCCTCTGGGGTTACAACCTGGGTTCAACCCCAACCCCCAACCCGCCCCTGCGGGGTATGCTCCCAAAACGAACTCAGCCGCAACAACTTCCATGACAAGCTGCAGCGACTAAGACAGAACAAGATGGCCGGAACGTCAAGGCGAACTGTAGTCGGAGCTACACCAGCAGTTCGCTCTGAACCGTGCGTGGTGCGGCTCCTGACCAGTGCCAGGCCATGGCAAGGCTATCGTTTCTTGACCATGTAACATTTCTATGTGCTATCGCAGCACGTCTTCACTATGTCGACCTGGATAAAGCCACACCTCTTTCCTGCAGGGCTCTGACAGAAACACAGGTTTCGGATTCAGAGTCAGGGTAGAGGTTTGAGCGGGCGCTGAAAGTACCATGCTGGGGGTCTTGAGTTGAGAGGTTGGGCTGGGGTGTTGGGTTGAGGTGCAAGACTTTGCGGCTTTGGTTTTGGAGTTGGAACTTTTTTGGATTTGGGTTGCTGCAAAGAGTTCAAAAGCAGTCAGTGTTGTCTTTTCTTACGAGTTTCAGTTCATGGTTCATGTTCTCAGACTTGTTTTTTTCAGACGACGAATCCTGCAGCAGCCCTGCGGAAACGATTGCTAGCGCAAGTTTTTGTTGGAATGCAGAGAAAAGTTTGCAGCTTCTTGTTCTTGTTGCTCTTGCTTTTCGCTCATTTTCGCAAATGGGCACCAAACTGCAAATGGTTGAACACCTTCTAACATTGAGAAAGCTTCTCTTCAAGCCCGTTTTGGGCTTCTCAAAGGTTTTTCAAGAGCTTTAGAAAGTAAGACCGCTTGTTTTTTAAAGCCATTTCGTGTTAGCTTTGTTGCATGTCGCACATTCAGAGCAACTAGAAAAAAGAACAATTCAACAGCTTGCATGTATCCATGGAGTACCATTTGGTTTGTGATTCACATTTCCACAAGTTCCCAGAATTCGTAGCAAAAATTTGGATGATGTTCAACTTGCACACAAACGGCAACTAGAAAGCTTGTCGACAAAACCTGTTTGGCCTTTCCTCTCAAGCCTTCAGATCTTGGTGGATCTCACCTGCAAAGACAAGCTATGATCATCAAAATGACAAACTCGAATCACTTGTCGGTGTCGCAAGGTCAGAAATTCAACGATTCTTGCCACGGTGCTCGTGTGTCTTGGGTGCTGCGGAGAGACAGTCAATTTTCAAGTTGCATGTATGCAATCGTCACGAAATACCATGCAACAGCATCTTGTCGCCATGTAGGCTTGATTGAGCTTGTTTACGGTGTGTTGCAAAGTCGTTGGTTTTGATTGGCATGATGATCATCCTTTTTTGTGGTCGTAGAAGGGTGTGAGCGCTGGAAACAATTGCAGCATGTCCGCCTGGTCCATGTGAGACGCGGTTATACATGAGCCCATAACACCCCGCAGCACAAGTTTCAGATTGTTGAGCATTGCAGTTGGAGAATCAACATCGACAACATTCGATAGCATCTTGCGTTTCGGTACCGGGAATGAGCAGCATTGACAAGCGCAGTGCTGAGTCACGTGCATGTCATCATGTGCTTTTGTCATACGAGTGTATCTGTGTCTTGCTTTGTGCCAAGGCTTCGGCTGAAGAAGCTGCAGCGTCAAGCTCAAGGAGCTTCATCGGACTTGCAGGCAGGCTTGCATGTCCATTTCGTTACTTTCCCACGACCGGTGCAGAGTTTCATGTTTTAGTTGCGGAGTTGCTGTCACTGGAGGCTTCGCTTGGAGCTCAACCAGGTGCAGGACTTTTCGTCGATGAAATTTTGGAGATATGTCCCTCAGTCTGCTGGACGGTTTAACATTCGGTTACCGAAGCTTCTATGGTTGCAGTGCTGGTTCACATACAACCCATAAAACGCAGCTTTATTCATTGTTAACATGCTGCCGAAAGCTTTGGCTGTGGCCACTTTACAACAGCCGCCGGCTTTGGCCGCTGCGTCCGTCGGGCGGTTTGCGGTTTAGGATTTTGTGGCTTGTGGGTCTAGGGCCGAGGGTCTTTAAAGTTCTGATTTAGGTGATTTAGGTTTGTTTGGCGTCAGAATCTTGCGGTAAGCCTTTACCGCAAGCTTTAAAGCTGGGATTGAGCACCACATGCGAAGGGAGATCAAGGACTTTGCAATTGGGGTTTAGGGTTTCGCCGGGTTAGGGTGGTGAGGGTTTAGGGTTTAGGGTTCGGGGGGGTGAACTTTATGGGGTGACATGGTTTCTGCAGAATCTTCAGTGCTGCAACCGAAATCGGCAATCCCTGATTCCGGAATTAGTTCCTCGGCTCTAAACCGTAAACCCTAACCCCAAACCCTGAAACCCTAAACCCTAAACCCTTCGCCCAAAGACCTAAGCCCTAAACCCTACACCCTAAACCCAAACCTAAAACTTAGAGGAACAGAAACCCGAGCCCTCGACTCCTTACTTCCCAAAATCAAGCCCGTTCAGCTACCTTAGGTTCTTGTTTGGTTTTAGGGCCTAGGGTTCAGGGTTTCGGGCCTGGGATTTGGGGCTTGTCTTGAATCTGCGGCTGGACGTCATTCTCAGGAGTTGCGCCGAGCAATGGCGCTCCTGCCAATGGGGCCAGGCGTGGGTTTAGGGGTTCAGTCGGTTCAAGGGTGACACGTGGGTTTCGGGTTCAGATAGTTTGGGGTGTAGGCTTCAGTATTCAGGGCATTGCGTCCAGGTTACAGGCTTTGAAGCTGTTGAAGGGCGCGGTTTGGCGGGTGTCCAAGCGGTGTGCTTGAGGTGGCGGTAGCAACACTACACCCGAACACCAGGTCCCAGACCCAAAACCTACACAACCCTAAACCCTAAACCCTAAACCTTACACCCTAAACCCTAAACCCTAAACCCTAAACCTTACACCCTAAACCCTAAGTATTCGGCGGGGCTTCGGACCCATCCGGCCCTGCGGCTGCGACCTCAAGCGACACAACCCCTTCCCGCCCTCCAGGGCCCTAACAACAGGGCCACAAAACCCAGGAGCTCCTAAGATCCTGAACCATCGGAAGGCAAAGCTGAAGCCAAAAACCCTAAGGGTCCTGAACGTCTTGTGGGGTTTTTGGCCCGAGTGCTGCTTCAGCATGAGGCCGGACGGCGCCCCTGACAGCTACTTGAAGCAAGGGCCTCAAGTCCAGTCAGGTTAGGGTCATATTTTGTCGAGTCTAGGACTCCCCCCGAGGAGGGCCTTATTCTACTGAACTCCGGTTGGCACGAATCACGGAGGTAGTTTTGGCGTATATATCTCTGACTTGCGACGGTCGTCATGTGATCTTCAGGTCAGCCCAGGAATTTGTTCATGGCATGTGAGGCATTGCCGCAGAGCTGGGGGGGCTCCCTGGGCCTCTCGCAAACAGCTCCTGCTACAATTTCTGCTACCACCTAGAAGTAGTTGAGAGTTTGGACTTTTCCTGTCTATCACAGGATCCATTGATTCGATTCTTGGTATCTGCTATCCTTGCTGTTCGTTGAACCATGAGACTTAAACCCTACACCTTTCGGTAGGGAGTTTCGGCTACAAACTTGCAGTTGGAAAAGGGCCCGCACAAAAAAAAACCTACACCTTTCGGTTACCCCTAAATTCAAAACCCTGCCGAGGTCGTCCCTGCCTTCATCCAAGCGGGGTCCGGATCCACCCGCAGATCCGGCCAACCCGCCGCGGCCCAAACAGCTTCCAGGAGTTTGCGGTTTAGGCCCTAAACCCTAAACCATAAACCCAAACCCCAAACCGTAGGTTGTAGAGATTTCGGTTTTTAGCCAATCGTGAGAGTCAAGCCTTCGGCTTCCTGCATGTGAAGAAAATCGCTCCCCAAACTACCACAAGTCAGCTCGCCGGAGCTGCAAATACGTAGGTTGCATACAGACTCACACAAGAACGGAAATTCTCAAGCCCCCGAACCCTTAACCGCCTTAACCCTACCTAAACCCCTAAACCCCTAAACCCTAAACTCTCTTATGTCGAAAGACCATCCCGAGGCTCCCGGCACCGCCGCCGTTCTCCCCATACGGTGCATGCCCATCATCTGCAGAGGTGGGGTGGGTTCAGGGTTTAGGGTTTAGGGTTTGGAGTTTAGGGTTTAGGGTTTAGGATGTGGGGGTTTAGGGTTTAGGGTGCAATGATGCTTCGGAGTCTATGGGAGCTCATCTAAAGTCTAAACGCCCAGATAAAAGAGGGTAAGACTTAAGAACGGACGCTGGAGGTAGAACCGTTACATCAGAAGTTTTGTAAGCAAGCAAGTATATATCTGAGTAGCTCACGTATTCAGACATGATATGAGTGTATGTACGTATGTAACATACCGTATGCATGTATGTATGTATGTATGTATGTATGTATGTATGTATGTACTTATGTATGTATTTTATATATACATTACACACTAGGAATCATACAAGCGTAGTATATGAACAACCATAAAGTATGCCCACAAGCCATGTTTGTGTGCCAAAATATACATGTACATATATATATATATGTATACATATATATATATATGTGGAGAGAGAGAGAGAGAGAGATGTTTTTCACACACACACACACATATATATATATATATGTTTATGTAAGGGCAGTTAGCATACTACAAAATACAGACACACACACACACGCACACATAGCGTGGATTCATCATCAGCTTTGATCCCCGAGCTAGGTTGTGCAGCCTCAGCCATTTGAGCTGCTCAGCGTTTTTTGGGTAGATCAACTGCAGAATCACTGCACCGTGGATTCTCCACGCCTTGTGGCGTGGGCCTTTGCCCGCGGCTTCGCAAGGCCCGGGTGCAATAGGGTCTTTGGCACACCAGTTTGTCAACGTCATTGACACTGTCACGAGCTGCTACGTTGTCTGTTTTATCCTGATGTATCCTTGGCGGTTAACGGCAGAATAGCAACGAATATTCGCAGTGCCATCCCGAGTCCCAAGTTAAGTGCGGCTGAAGCCGAGATTGCGGCTCGCAACAGAATGCAAAAGCGGCTCACTGGCGACGATCACCAAGAGATAAACAGTTAGCAAGCAGCAACAGCAACACGAGAAGCTGGTGGTGGTGGTGATGGTAGTAGTAGTGGTGGTGGTGGTGGTGGTGGTGATAGTAGCAGTAGGATTAGGAGTCGTTGTCGTAGTGGTAGTGGTAGCAGTGGCGGTGGTAGTAGTAGTAGTAGTAGTGATAAAAGCAGTAGTAGCAGTAGCAATAGCAGTACTAGTAGTAGTAGTAGTAGTAGTAGCAGCAGCAGCAGCAGCAGCAGCAGCAGCGGTGGCTACGACCATAGCAGCGTCTGCAGTAGTACAAGCAGCAGTCAAGATCAACCCTCAAACAGCATGTCAACCAGTAGCATCTAGAAACAATACAGCAGTTAAAGCATGTATCTGAATCAGTTGATGCGCGTCGGCGAGGAGTATAGTGCGTCCCCTCCCAGGTGCGCACCCACAAAAGCAACAGGAACAGTGGTCACGGCAACAGCGGAGATATCGGTGCATGTGATCGAAACATGTTCAGAACGTCGAAAGCCAGAGGGATAATGCTGCCAAGTGTAGCATTCGAGAGTCGCAACATCCACACTACTGGCAGATATCGAAAATTCTCGCGGCAACAGCAAAGGTGCCGGTTCGGCAACAGGAGTGGATAATTTGAAATAGAATCCATGTGATCTGGGTCTTGCGGCATCCATCTAATTTGTTGTGATCGCGTTGATGCGTTTGTTACGGCAGTGGAAAGAGTCTTGTTTTGGCAGCTCAGCACCATTTGCAAGAGGAATGCGGGCAGTACCGAGAGCGTTACTATTGGAAGCTACCTGGCAAGGTGGGATAGACGTCGAAGATGTGGCAATATGTGGCACCAGACGCCGGAGTAGGACGCTTTGACATGGGAATCCCGTCTGCATGGCAGTAGATCTTGTCGAGCCGTCATGGGCCGCCATCGTCACTGTGTTGATGCATGGTAGTGACGAAGATGAGGAAGGACATACTCTTGACTGTATGATTGTTGAGATGGTGCTGCATGTATTTATTGCATCAGTGGCAGGTGGGCCTTTCGGCAAGAGGGCTTGTGCCGAAAGGGAGATCAGGAGTAAGAGTTCAGCCGCAATACCCGAGGGTGTTGTAGGAGCAAAAAGCACTGGCTTTGTGGCAGAATCTTCATCTCCGACCGGTGCAGGGCTTTGACGGCAACCCTGGGGTTAAGTCTTTAAACCCAAAGCCCGTATAAAATCGCACTGGCATGGATTTCACCTACTCGCCGTGTTTCTTTGCTCCACCGCAGTGCCCAGCTGGATCACTTTTCAGGCCCTAGACCCCCAACCCGGAGCCATATTGTCTAAGCACCGCGCGATGCCGAGGAGGAGGAGGAGGATGGGGAAATGACTTTCGACAGCGGCAAGATTTTCGGAAACGTTGCTCGACAGCAGATGCCCAGGTGTTACTATGTTATCAGCTGGTAGAAGAAGCCACGGAAGCTGAGAAACAGTAACGGATGGCCGTAGTGGGAAGTTAAATGCAGCAAAAGTCGGCAATGAGACGGACAACACTGGTAGATAACAACAGTCCTGTGACCAACTGTAATGAGAGCAATGCGTGTAGTGAAATTGTAGCAAGTCAGTATAAGTCTGACTGGTCACGAAGCAGTTACCTGAACCCTAAATCTTAAACCCTGAACCCCAAACCCTAAACCGAAGCAGTAAGAACCAGATGCTCCAACAGTGGGGTTTAGGGTTAAGGGTTTTCACCATCCGACCATCCATGAAAGCTTAATTTGGTTTGGTGCCAGCAGGTGTTTCTCAAGCTTCAAACCTACGGTAAACCAGACCTCGAGGGCTTTGCGTTGCAAGCTCCCAAACCCGAAAGGCTAAACCCAGCACCCTAAACCCTCAACTCTAAACCTTACGCCCCAAACCCCAAACACAGACCCTAAACCCCAAAAGTCTCAGCTTTCGAACCTCCTAGACCTTGAGGAATGAGGTCCAAGCTTCTTTTCCTACCCCCCCCCCCTCCTGCTGCCTAAACCATGAACCCGAAACACTAAACCCTAAACCGACGATAGAAGCTCTTGAGCTGCGATCTGGGCCCTTGAGGATTTGGGGTTTAGGATTTAGGGGTTTTGGGATTTAGGGTTTAGGGTGTAGGATTTTGGGGTTTAGGGCTTTAGGGTTGAGGGTTTAGGATTTGGGGTTTAGGATTTGGAGTTTAGGGTTGAGGGTTTTAGGGTTTTGGATATGCGTTTAGCGTCTTTCCGAAGGTGGGTTCTCGAAGTGCACGTTACTGTGGAACTTCAGCCAGACAAACACCGATGAGCCTAAGGGGTTTAGGGTTTCAGGGTGTCGGGCTTAGGGTTTAGCGTTCCTTTAAAGGGGGTTCAAGGTTTAGGGTTTAGGGTTCCTTTAAAGGGGTTTAGGGTTGAGGATTTAGGGTTAAAACTTATGACTTCAGCTTTTTGCTTGTCTCGGCAGGCTTTGACGATCACAACTTTCGCTTCTATGGATCGTCCTCCCAAGCAAAAGGTGGCTCGGTCGAATGTGCACAAGAAGCCATGGGGGATACTTAGCACGGCACTCGCAGAACGAGCCTTTGCCTTTGGAAAAGCGGTGTTCCTTTCGAGCATGCCATACTCACAGCTTTGTTCTCAGGTTTGAATGTTCATGGTTTGAGGTTTATGGCGCGCAACCACTGATTTTCTGGCACTGTGCGATTTCACTTCTTCCGAATCGTTTCTTTGCCATCGTGACGTCTTGAATGTTTTAGGGTTCCGGGTCTAAGATGTAGGAGTCTGGGTTCCTGGGTTTGTATCTAGTTTAGCAAGTTCACCGGCCTGTCAAGCTCGAAACCATCTCCTGCAGATCTCTCGATGTGTGTGTACTCTCAGGGTCATCGCAGGTGCCGTTTCCGAAATAAGGGATCCCTCTTCAGGTGTCTTTGTACCAGCGTCCCACAAGTCAGGGTGTATGCAAAGACCTATATTCGGTCTTTCAGTTTGTAACCCTAAACCCATATCAAACACTCGATGCAGAACCCAAAGCTTGGCTCCGTCGGCTTTGAAGCATTCAGCCAGCTCAACTGAGGCAACGACTGGGTCGCGCGCTTCTTCGGCAATCCAGTCTAGTTGTAACAAGTATTAGCTATAAGCCTATCATAGTCATAGAAGTAGGTCCAGCAACAGCAGCCGCAACAGCAGTAGTAGGGGGAGGAGGAGCAGGAGGCGGCGGAGGAGATGTTGTCGTCGTCGTAGTCGTAGTCGTACTGCTGCTACTCCTACTAGTACCACCACCACCACCACCACCACCACCACCACCACCGCTACGAAGACGACGACGACGACTACTACTACTACTACTACGACTACTACTACGACGACTACTACTACTACTACTACTAGTACAACTCCTACCACTACTACAACCACCACGACGACGACTACCACCACCACTACTACCATTTCTACTACTACTACTACTACTACTACTACGACGACCACGACGACTACTACACCTACACTACTGCTACTACGACGCTGCTGCTGCTACTACTGCTACTACAGCTGCTACTACTACTGCTGCTGTTGTTACTGCTGCTGCTG